AAAAATAAAACAAAAATTTAGAAAAATACAGCTCATTAAGATAAAATTATTGAATTTCATTTCAAAAAAAAACGGGATTATTTACAAAAGGGAGAAAGAAAAGGAAACAACTGGAATATCTTACTGGCTGGGCTGACTTGGAGCTCTGGTAACAAACTAACTAAAAGCTCCGTGTCAGATTTGGAGAGCCATTTCCCAAGGGAGAGAGGAAGAGACACAATGGCGCCCTATTTATCCCCCAAAGTCCCAGAATGCCTGCTTAGCTCTGCCCATGGGTCCTTGCAGTTCTCTCCCTGGTACTGGTGGGAGTTGTAGTTTCTAATCAGTGGAGTAGTGGGTAGAGTCCAGAAAGCTGGAGTAGTGGGTGGAGGCCACAAGACTCTGCAGAGTTCCTTTAGGACATCCTTCCCCTTAACAAAAAGACAGAAGATAAATTTTACCTTCTTACCAATTTTTAATTGTACATTTCCATTGTGTTAACTTTAGTTACACTGATGTAAAACAGATATGCAGAATTATAAATCTGAAATTATAACTTCTTTCCTCCTCACACCCTATGCAGTACCCTAACTCATGTTTCTGTGAATTTTGCTAGTTTAAATACTTTGTACTAGTGAAATAATGCACTCTTTTTTCTGGACTATCTCTATAAAACCAAACTATACACAATGTGGTATGAGTTAGGTTTCCTTCTTCTTAAAACTGAATGGCATTCAACACCACATTTTCTCTCTCCATTCACCTGGGATTGGACACTTGGGTTGTTTTAACTACTGTGAGCAGTGAACAGTGCTAATATGAAAAATGTAATATAAGTTATCACTTCAAGACTCTGCTTTCTATTCTGTGGAATATATATGCAGACATGGGATTCCTGGATCACAGGGTTTGCTTTTTTAAATATTTATTTATTTGTGCATACAGAACTGGAGTACAGGCCAGAGATGCAGGGGTGGTGAGAGGATTCACCAGACACAGAGTGGGGAGCAGAACAGGCAGATCAACAAAGTACCCTGCTGAGGGGAGCAGCAGGCAGGTCAAGAGAGATCTGCTGCGCCATGTGGATCAATCACCTCCCGGGCAGGCAGGGATCGGACTCATGGGGAAGTGGCTTTAGCTTCTTAGTGCTGTTCTTTAACCCGCTGCGCCACCAGGGAGGACCCTTTTTTTTTTAATGTTGAAGAACTGAATTGTTTTTCACTGTGGTTGCACCATTTAACTATCCCACAGTAATGTAGTAAGATTCCAACTTTTTCACATTCAGTCTCATATTTGTCATTTTCTGGTTTTGTTGTGTGTTAATCATTCCAACTCCTGTGAGTCACTATCTCATTATGGTTTTGATTTGCATTTTCATAATGATCAGTGATGTTGAAGAGACTGTTTTTCCCCACTGAACATGTTTGGCCTCATTGCTAAAGAGTATATGGCCATATACATGAGGTTTATTTTTGAAATTTCTAATCTGTTTCACAGTGACTTTTTGTGTTTATAAAATTGATTAGTGAATGTCAATTTTTCTTTTTGCAGTTTCTAAAACTATATATATATATCTTACAATTTGGATAAGGATTGAACTGATTGATCAAACTGACTCATCTACAGTACACATTACAATTACTTTTTCTAATCCATGTTTACACATATTATTATACACGTTACAATATTACTTTTCTAATCCATGTTTATACATATATTTTAATTAACTTACAACTTCATATTTTTCAGCATAGTTGTATTCAGTGTATATGTCTTTCATCCCCTCAATTAGATTTATGCTGGAACATTTTATTCTTTTTGATTATGTGTGAATGGAATACTTTTCTTCATTTCCTTTCCAGATATTTCATCATTAATGTATAAAAATGCACTTGACTTCTGGTATTTTCTCTTGTAAAGCTGGAGATGCCAGGGTTTCCCTGTCCTTTCCTTATCTCTTGTGTCCCATGCCTGCATGAGGAACTGCAGCATTGTTCATGGCTCACCCACTTTACAGTGGTTTCCAAACCCACCTGGTCCTGCACAGTCTCTTGGGCAAGACAGAAGCCAGTTCCTCAAGTAGCAGCCAGTCACTGCAGGATGTTGGATGTACAATCCACTCATCTTCCATTTCCAAGGAGGCTCAGTGTATGAGGTTCCCTTTGTGGGTTTGCTAAACTTAAGCAGCCTATCCAGCCTCCTTTAAAAAAAAAAAGATTATTTATTTATTCATATAGAACTGGGGTACAAGCCAGAGATGCGGAGGGTGAGAGAATTCACCAGAGACAGAAAGGGAAGCAGAACAGGCAGATCGACGAAGTACACTGCTGAGGGGAGCAGCGGTCGGGTCAGGAGAGGTCTGCCTCGCCATGTGGATCTCCTCCACGGTAGGCGGGAATCGAACTCATGCTTAAGTGGCTTAAGCTTCTTAGTGCTGTGTTTTAACCCGCTGCGCCACCAGGGAGGGCCCCAGCCTCCATTTTAACAAAGCAAGGTCAGAACTGCCCGGTCACAGTCACAAAAACCCAACTCCACAAGGTAACTTTCATATCAATTAAGAACATAAAGGTGGATCACTCTGGGAAGCGTGTGCATTAAGAGGTATGACCGGGAACGTCTGGGGGGGCCATTGACTGATGCATAACAAAGGACCCCAGAAGCTAATCAGTGGAAAGCCTTATTGACTAGGGAATTGAAATCCTGACTAGGGAACTGGGGCTGGACTCAAATTCCAACATGAGAAATACAGAACCACCCTGCACCTCTTTCTGCTACTTCTCCCTTTTCACTTTAACTTTCCCTTTTGACTAATAACTGTATCATTAAAAAGGCCGGGATCTTGAGCAGCATCCTGCATTATGTAGCCTGCTCCATGACTCCCGTTTCTTTGTCAGTGTGGTTGCCCGACGCAACATCCCTCCTAGTGCCTCTTCTCTGTGCTCTGTAACAGAGGCACCAACTGATGCACCAAATGCTGGAATCATTTGTTCTCCTTTGTTGGAATTGCTTCTTGTTTCACAATGACCTGGGTGCTATAGCTTGTCAACCATCTCTGGGCCTCTTACAGAGGTAATATGGTCGTTGGAGTGTTGTTAATTCCATGTCTCTGTGGAAGAAGGATGACTTGGAGTTTCCTAGTCTGCTATTTTCTTCTCTCCATTAGACCCAAGGTGGCTTCTGTCTCTCACGATAACCATTTGTTGCCTCTTTTATTTTTACCTTTTCACACAGAATGATTTTCATATGTCCATGTTGTAACCAATTTTTCGGTTTAATTATGCTTCACGTCATAAAGTAATTTCGTTCCTCTTTATTTTCCTGTCTATCACAACTTCTACTAGCCAGCAAAGTTCAATGTCCAAATTCATCATGTAGTGAATTAATACATCTATCATTTCTTGAAGTATTATACTAATATTATTGCCTTTATTGATATTATTATTAGTACTGATGCTGCATGCTAAACCTCAGATTTATTATCACTTACCTCTGAAATATATAAATATGATATATGTGTGTGTGTGTGTGTGTAAAATCTTTCTAGGTAAAGAGAATATATATCTGAATTCTGATACACTTTTCTTGTGAAAGTGTCATCTACAAGATTGGATTATTAATTTATTAACAAATTAGAAATATCACCAGGTGTGAATTCTTGAGGGCTTTATTATTTTTTTAAAGATTTATTTATTTATGCATACAGAATTGGGGTACATGTCAGAGGTGCAGGGGTGGTGAGAGGATTTACCAGAGACAGAGTGAGTAGCAGAACAGGCAGATCGATGAAGTACACTGCTGAGGGGAGCAGCGGGCGGGTCAGGAGAGGTCTGCCACATATGTGGGTCACCTGGGTGGGGGGCGGGGATCATATTCGTGCTGAAGTGACTTTAGCTTCTTAGTGCTGTGCTTTAACCCACTGCACCACCAGGAAGGGCCCAAGGGTTTTATTTTATATGTATACAATGGTGACTGCATTATATAGGTCCACAAGACAAGGTAACTTCCATAATACATAACTACACAAACAAAATGAAATGACCCATCCGTGGATATCCATGTAGATAAACACTCTTTATCAGCTTATATTTCTAGATGTTTATAAATTTTGCTATTTGCAGCTCTGCAGATTTCTACTTAAAGGAGGCACCTTTACCTTGAATAAATTACCTTTGTATGACAATCACCATGCGTCCCTTGTATTCTCAGTCATGCTTCATAATTTGATATTAAACTTCAGGGCACTAAAAGCACTATCTTGCTCATATTTAAATTACGTCTGTGAGGTAACAATTTGCACAATGTAAGCATTTTAGGTGTATAAGTTCACACCTCAACACCTCCACAATGTAGCTCTCACACCATGCCCACCACCAATGTCCCATGGGGCTCTACCCCAATTACTCCCAGCCTCTCCCCTCTGGTAGTCTCCGTTCTGCTGTCAGCCATCAAAAGTCTTTTGCATATCTACAATTCCATGTTTTTGCATTTTGTAACTTTCTTTGGAGCACAAATATTTCAGGGAGATTTTAGAGCTTGAGGAAGGCATCATACAGGGTTTACTCTTTGCATGAACAGTTAGTATTTTACAACAGTGTGTTGAGTATTATTTAGCATGATGATCTGGTAGGGTTTTTGTTTTGTTTTGCTTTTTTTGTGGGTCCTTAAGTTGCACATTAAGTGAATGCTTCATTTCTCTCTTTCTGCTCATGGCCCTGAGTGAGGTGTTCAAACAAATGAAGGTCAGAAGTACAACAACAGACAAGCCTTCCCACAATCTGTCAGACAACAGAGCAGTTAGTTAGGTAAGTTCACTATTCAATATTCAAACACAGTGGACTCAAATAAATGGACAGTGTTGCTAATTTATGGAGAAAACCCACAGCCAGCGCTGTGGGTGGGTGGGTGGGGATGCAGAGAAATAACAAAACATTTCAAACTGGGCACTTCCTTTTGTGATCTTGCATCGGAGGACTTAAGACTTTGTCTTCTACACAAGTTTAGAGCACTTTCTCCTGTTTGCCATGGATGGACAAGTGACATATGCTGAACTAAATGTGTCCAGGAATTCTGGCCTTAAAAATTCATCACTCCCACCTGTTCCTCAGGGTAAGTGACTTTGATTTTCCATTTTCACATCTGTTTATATTTGATAGTTTTTCTTAACAAATATGTGGTATGAAATCGTTGCTTTGAAGATGAGTAGCGGTCCTAGATTAATGTTAAGTGTAGCTTGTCTGTAGGTAATCCCCATTGTGAAGAAAAGCACATCCTACAGAATTATTTTTACTAAGATATCTGTGGGGAAAATGAAAATCATATCTATTATTGAACTTTGGTTAAGAGATCCTGAAGAAATATTAGAAATTATTTTTTAGGGACACATTGCTAACTTGATGCAGGAGTACAGTACCCTACCTCATACCAAATACTCTACAAAATACCAAAATTATGATCAAGTCCAGTATATTTGCACCCATTCCAGGCCTCTCAGAATGCAAAGTATAGATGTAGGACAGACATCCTTCACTCTCAGAAAAGAGGAAAACTTTCTAGAAGAAAATCATATTTAGGATCAAAGACTTAATTGAATTACAATCTGATGACTTCTAATTTTGAAACTTCATACTTGAAGAGTATCACAAATTAAAAGGAAATGAGCTATGGGGTGCTGGAGGGAGCTGCTAGGGAACCTATCTGAAGGCCTGTTAAAATCTACACATTTCTTGTTGTCAAAGGAGGGAGTATTCTGCTGAAAGAAATGGAGAATTCTCACCCCAGGTAAAAGGTGACAGGCACTCTGGCCTGAAAAGCAATGAAAAAGGCCAGAAACTAGATGAAAAGCAGCATGAATATCAGGGCCATCTGAAGCCTAGTCAAATTTACTGATATCAATAATTTGTGACTTTTATTCAAACTGATTAGGCTACGCATTTGGATTACCCCTTCTCTATGGTTGCATATAGACTTGAAACTACTAAATTAATCAATTTTCATATTGGGGGAAAAGTCAGGATAATCAAATCTGTTTTAATATATCCTTTATATGGGAATTAAGCAAAATAGAATTCTGCTCCCAGCACTAGCATTTGGTCAAGGCACAGTATTTTTTGATAGAAAGAACAATATTTTCTTTTTCCTTATTCATATACAGTAAAAGTGCAGGGGAGGGTAGACAGAATTGTAAAAAGGGCTGCCAAAAAATTAATATAGAGAAAGATAGTTAGATGTTTTTCCTCAGAAGCTACTATGATCCCAGGTATATGAGGCTAGAAAGTTTACCTACTCTGATATATTAATTGGCCTAGAAAATATAATCTTGAAAGTAAATCTCAAAGGGGAAAATATAGAATAAATTTAGAACAAAATATGTGATTACAGATACTGCTCCAGTACCACAGCATCATGAAACCACAATTGAGTCTCTGACTCAAGGCTGTGGTAACATGCAGAACGGTGATTGTGTCACAGCGGTCAGCACCACTGGAGAGATACGTGACTTATTTAGTTGTGGCTCGGCTCAGGCTCCTCAGTAAGGTGTTGGCAGTGCACCTTCAGGATTTATTCAAAAGTCGGCATTTACTATGTGTCTGGCATGCACGACAGGCTGAGGCTACAGTCACAAGGAAAATGGGGGGATGAAAACCTTTTCATTTATTGTATGGAGACATACAAATAAGCTATGCAGCAAAAGATCAGTTGATAATGAATGCAGTTGAGCAAAATAACAAATGGAACCAGAATTTAGTTCAGGGAAGGCAGAGAACCTCAGAGAATGCCTCCAGGCCTCCATGACATTTAAGTCAGGACCTGAAAGAAATGAAGGACAGAAACATGTTCTCTCAGAAAGAACCTCCGGGAAACTTGGCCAGTAGGTGCTCAGTTCTGAGAGGAGGTCTTGCCTGCCTCGCTGGGGGAGGAGATGGAAGAGTGGAAGGCGGGAACGTCAGGAGATGAAGTTAATGATGCAGTGGGATACCAGGTGGAGCAGGGATTTGTAGATGCCTTTATAAATGTTGAGGGAAAGGTCTTGTTGACAGAAAACCATTAAAAGGGATAGAACAACGGAGAGAGATGATTGCACAGACTGTGTTCATGCAGTCCATGAGCAACCCACATAATGAGCTTTACCTTTCTTTCTCATTTGACATTACAAATCCATTCACTCAACCTCCTAGAGCGGCAGAAAAGTGATTCAGAAGAGCATTCTCCAAAGTACAAGGTGCTCCACGCATCGAAGTTGAAGTTCCTTAAAGTTTAGCATAATTCTTTTAACAAGTCACTCCAAATGTCTTCTTCCTAAATTTACAGCTCATTTAATGCCTGGAGTTATAGCCAGTGTTTCTCAGAATTTTTTATTTAAGTAACATTGAACTGAACTTTATAACATATTGTTATCTAGTGTTGCATAATGTTATACAAAATGAATCAATGACAAAATGTCAAAACATTCTAATTCTGCATCTAGTCAATGTTTTAATATTAGTTATATATAATGTTGTAATATTATATGAGGTCCCAAAATTTAATATTCTTCTTTTTATTTTCCCTGTGAAACTCATGTTTCAAAGATGCCCAACATAAATTACATTGATAAAGTGATGATTAATTAAGCATTCATGTTTAGTGATTAGCTAATTAGTCAAAATTACTGGTTAACATGAAACAGTTTATTATACTTGGTATGTATAGAAAAACAAAGATATTTGGCAATTGTTTAGAGTTTGTGAGATGTTATCTCACTGAAATAATTAGCAGGCTGGTAAAATATTCTTCCTTGATTGCAATACACTTGGTCTTAACTGGAGGTGATTTTTCTGGACAAAAAAAGGAGAAGAATCCTTGTTACAAACATAATTTTACATATCGTAGTGACTAAATAGTGTTTGTCACAAAATAGAACCTCACAAAATATATTTTCAATGAGTGAAGGTGATCCTTTTCCGATAGCAGTTGGCAATTTTCAAAATATCTTACATCAATCTCACCTGAAAATTATTAAACCAATCTTTTGTACATAAGACAGCATAAATATTTCAGTTGTTATCAATGAGTTAGCTTCTAGGTAACTAATTGAGAATTAATCTTGTGGGACTCTATAAGGCTGTAAGTGTTCTTTTCTGCCCCCCTGTGGTCCAGATGTTATCAAAACTACCTTTGCTGGGCCTCCCTGGTGGCACAGAAATTAAAGTTTGTGTTATCAAGCCACAGCAAGCCACTGCAGCCTGAGTTTGATCCCCAGCCAGGGAGCTGACCCACGTATGGTGCAGCAGACCTCTCCTGTCTGGCCTGCTGGTTCTCTCAGCAGTTTATTTCAATACATGTGCATTCTCTGCTCCCCACTGCCTCTGGTGATTCTGAGGATTCTCTTAATCCCTGTAGCTCTGGCCTACACCCCAGCTCTTCTATGAATAAGTAAATAAAAATAAATCCTTCAGAAAAAAATAAAAAACCTACCAGATGATCAGATGAACTCAAGGGAATCAAATGCATGCCTTTTCTTACCTCCTCAGGTATCTGTCAAGGTGCACCCTGGCATCAACTTGCTCTGAAAATTGGTTGTGCTGGGCTTATTCTTCTATCCTTGACTGTGATTGGGTTGAGTTTTTTAGGTAAGTGACTCATGATGATTTGCTTCAGAACATTTACTCAACTTCTATCATAAATATTAGAGTATCTTAACATAATTTGACCACCCAGACACAGTAGAAAACGAGTGATATAAAAACAATAACAAACAATGCTTTTAATAATGCTCAGCCCATATTCACTTTGCAATTTCAGCTTTCTATATTTTCTTCTGAATTTCCTGTTAAGTATCCATAGGAATTTCACATGTGTGAATGGGGAGATTACAATTATGAGAAAAAACAGGACAACAAAGAAAAATTAAGTTTCTACAAATTTACAGTTTAACTTTCCCAAAAAATTCCAGAATGTTTGGCACTACAAATCTTTCTTGTGGGATAAATATAAAAGGTTTTCTTGTGGGATAAATATAATTATACTCAGTCTGAAGAGGAAAAGTTTCAGAGAGAAGTGTAAGCACTTTAAGAATTGAACACCTTATGTTCAGTTACCTCGGAGGACACAGGCAGCCCAATGTCCGTGTGAGCTCACTCATTTTGTGAGTTTTCTTATGTGCTTACACATGTTGCCTTCTAACTGAACACTTTGTTACTAAACCTTTATCATTGTACTTTCTGTTCATATGCAAGCTTGTTAAGATTATTTGGTTCCCTGAAGCATTAATATTTTCACTTCATTATCCATTTCATTTTTTAACCTTCTCCCTGCTCATTTACTAGTGATATTCTTGCAATGGAATTCATCAACAGAAAAAACTACAGCGGATTCTCAAGAAAACATTCAAGAAAACATAACTGAAACTGCAGGTGCATTTGTGGTTTAAATTTCTATGAGGAACCACTGGTATTTGATAGATATGACGCATTACCAGGCTAAGGCTTGTAACAGCCCGTATGTTAACATGCTATAATCACTTCATGTTTGACAAACTGAGGCACAAAAATTGAACAGCTCATAGAGGGTCAGATGACAGTTGGTGGTGATGGGATGGTACTAAGGAGTCTCCCTCAGAGTCTTGGTCCTCGTCAGTCAAGTACCATATGAGGAGCTGATGCTCAGATATTCAATAACCAGTGGCCAGGTTCTAAGGTGACAAGTAAACTATGCATGTAAGTCGGATATTTTATTTTAATGGATATATTAGACTTGCTAATCATAATCAAACATAAAATGAATGCTAAATATCTATGTATTATCATTAAGATATTTATTGTATTAATCATTAAGACATTACATTCCAATAAATACTGTGTTTTGATAATCTATAGTTGAATGCACCAGAATGTGATTTTTATTGTACATATTAAAACAGAAATTTCAGAATATCTGAAAAATACTCTGGAATTTGCCACTCCATAGGTCACATTAGTTAGTAAAATATACAACTTGGTAATCAGGATGTTTCTTAAGATTTTTTTCTCTGTGATGTTTGTCTCCAGTTTTGCTTAGGGAAGGAATTATTATTTTAAGCATCCTGTCTAAAGTAAATACTTTTGGGTAATTTGCATATGCTAGCCATGTATGGACTGGTGGTAAATTTGAGGAAACTCTGAAATGTTTCAATTCTAACATAATAAATTATATGGACTTGAACAAGTTCTGTGTCAGACTTGGAAGCTAAGACGTAGCTGCCAAAGTTACTCGACAGCCTGTCCTATTTTAATATTCCCTGATTCCATCCATGCCCATGTAACTGCTTACTAATCCCTTAGTCATGGTACCAGAATACACAGCAGGTGTCAAGCACCTTGAGACTATAATAAAATCATGAGTTTTACTCACAAAGATAAGCAAAGACTTTAGTGTAGTCATGATTAACAGGCATTTTGTGAGTGGGGTGGAAACAGGTTAGAAATATAACACATTTCTTTTTTCTTTTTCTTATTCTAGAAAGGTCAAGTCTGTTGAAGTGCCCAGAAGATTGGATTGAGCTTGGAGAGAAATGCTTTTTTATTTCTAGTTCTTCCAAAAGTTGGAATCACAGTCTAGCTGACTGTTTCAAAAAAGAATCCTATTTGCTGCTTATTCAAGATGAGGAAGAATTGGTAAATAATTAGATAAAATACTGAGTAGAACCTAGTTTAACAATTTCTTCTGTCATAGCAATCTCTGAGCTTTAGCTCAAAGATTCCAGGATAACAAAGACCTGACTTTGACTTTAAGCCCATCTGAGACTAAACAGAATGCAATTGGATGAATGCAATATAAATCTAAATAGCCAGAAAGAGATATCACAAAGCAGGAATAATTAACTCTAAGGGGGAGCAGGGAGAGTTTTCACAGAGGAAGTGATAGTTGAACTGGGTTTTAGAGGATGAGTTGAAGAAGAGTATAAACCATAAATAGAATAACATTCAATATTCAGTCATTTTTTTCTCTTCCATTTATAGAAACTTATACAAAACCAGATAAGTGATAAAGGATATAATTTTTGGATTGGATTAAATTTTACATTATCAGAGAAGAAATGGAAGTGGATAAATGGTTCAGATTTAAATTCTAAGATGTGAGTATGAGCTATGCTATTTGAAAATTCAACTTGCTTCAGGTATACACTGCAGGAATATAGAACAGTAACATTGTTTTTAAAGGTTGCATTTTGTAGTCTTAATTTAACTCAAAAATTTACAGGAGTTCAGAATTAGATGAGATGAATGAGTTTGGTATTGCATGAAAATGTCATATATGAAAAGATTCATGTGCAGTGGTCTTTTTGGAAGCAAAGGAATTGACTTGCAACCTTTGGAAGGGACACACGGAAATTTTAAAAATGTCTACCTGGATCCTCCCTGGTGGCGAAAGGGATAAATCTCTGCTCTCACACCACCATGGCCTGAGTTCGATCCCCATCCAGGGAGCTGACCCATATGGCACAGCAGACCTCCCATCTGGCCCGCTGCTCCCCTCAGCGATGTATTTCAGTAGAACCACCTGTTCAGCTCCTCACTGTGTCTCTAGTGAATCCTCTCTCCCCACGTACCTCTGGCCTATACCCCAACTTTTCTATATACACACACAAACAAACAAATAAATAAAACTCTCTAATTGGAAGCTATTACCACATAGGAATTTTAAGTATTTTTTTCAAACTGTGGGGCTATATAATTTAGTGGTTACAACCAGCATCAGAATGGTTATGAAAGTGGAAAAAATACTAAGTGTCAGAGTGTAATGCCCAGGCAAAAAAGAAGCTATCCACATTGTGAGAATTGTATAGTGCATTTTAACCTTTGTGTAAGATATTCATTCAGTAAGTATGCATAGACCACGATAGAGCTTTTTGCTGTTTGCTGCTGAATGTTTCAGTATAGTATCCTATGTAAATGACTAACATAACCCTCACTTGGAAAGGTTATTGCTACACAGACTTTTGAAGGAGATGGCATTATATAACTTTTTAAACAAAATCTGTGAATGATTCAATCTTGCTTGCATAACCAACCTCATTACTGAGCACATGCTCTGTTAATCACAGTCTACCTCAGGGCACAAGCCCCATACCGCCCCCAGAGAGTGGTGGGTTTATCCTGCAGACTGAAGAAAACTCAGGCTCTGTGAAGTTAAGAATTTTTCACATGACAGTTTAGAATAGACGATGGAGACTTGGTCTCCAGACCCCACAGCTTCTCTTCTTAGATACATAATCAGGTTTCTTGCTAGAATTATCTCCAAGAAGATGAAACTGCAAGGTCCTGAGGTGGATGTTAGCCTCACATGAACTGTTTGTACCATTACAGTAGTAAATCACTTGGTCATTTAGCCGTCCCTAAGAGCTGTAGAAATATTGGCTGGATGAGGAGAAACAAATGAGAAAATCCAAATGCTAAATGATGCCTTTGTTTTGCTCCACAGATTACAGGTTAATGATGAAGAGAAAGAAAACAACTGTGCTTACATCTCACAGAAAAAAACTGCGTTTGAGAACTGTAATGCGGAAAATAAATGGATTTGCCAAAAGAACTTAAACATCAGAAATAAACCATGTTCTGTGTGACTGGAGTATCACCCTCCATGTCCTGCTTCCCAAAACACACATCTAATTTTAGCCATAAAATATGATTTACTGGCCCTCCCTGGTGGCACAGTGGGTTAAAGCGCAGCACTGAGAAGCTAAAGCCACT